GTTTGTTGCTTTCGATTACTCTTGATAACATTAGGGCCGTCAAAGTTGGATATAATCATTTCAGGTCTATTTTTGAGATATCGAAAAATAATATTCAAAAAAGCATTAACGACAAATTCTAGATAGACAAGAAGAAAACGTAAATGCTTACGTTGGCTGCTTAACCTTCTCCTCCTCTTCGAGCAGTCGGGCTAGACCTTTGGATGACTCACTGAATGGGTCAAAACCAAGGTCATCATCTGATGCAAATCCTCCAAGACCTTAACGATAAAGTTTAATACTCTTAGATTCGATGAAATCTTCTGATCTTACCAGGTGGTGGTGAAGTGACTAGTGATTTTTGTGGAGTCATTGATGATTGTAATGTCGGAGAAGTATACGAAGTCGCCGTGTTATTTGGTGTAGTTTGCGGTGACAAACCCAAAAGAGTTTGCCAATTGACAAGAGGCGCCGGCGCCTCACTCACTGGTGCAGGTGCTGGGATCAATCCTGCCCCGCTGTCTTCATTTCCGCATAATAACCTATGAAAGTCAATTTCACTCAAGTAGCGAAAAGAAAATGAGGTTAAAACATTACCGTAATAACTTTGACTCTGTATCTTGATTATAAATAGAATTAAAAGGCTTTAACTGCTCTGCTGGTTTCGAAGGTGGTTTACTTCCGGATCCCGTTGAGACTTCTGTAGATTTACAGTCCTGAAAGGCATACGGAATTATTTGTGTTCTATCCATTTAAAATTTAAATTTTTCCTCAAAAAAATAGTTATACAAGGCGAAAACGCGAAAGAATTCTTTTTTCTAAAAAAAACGTACTATTGATGATGACGTAGAATCTCGAGGAGGTGAAGACGGTGGAGGTGTTGCCACCGCCGGTGTACTTGAAGCTGGTGGTGGACTAGTCTGTTTAACTTTTCCACGTTTCGGTATATTTTCTTTGTCTTGCGAAGACTGTCGTTCTCGTGATCCAAACGCTTCTGACGGTGTGGGATCACCAGACGGTGACTGAAAATTGGATTTTGAATCGCAGAAAACCAAACTATGCACTGTGAAAATTCTATTAGTCGCTACAAAATGTAAGTGGAAATAGAAGCACACTTCCAAATCCCTTTCAAATACTTCAGCCATTCGCATCCAAAAGATGCAAAGCCATTCAAATCCCCATGCAAAAGCAAGCACGCAAATGAATCACACATGCAGCGCGTAGTGTTTACAATGCATTGTTTACGACTAAGTTATAGTTTCGTCTAAGCTAGACATCTGCTATCAGTCATATTCTCAAACAATTACGATGCAATGCATTCAAACGCAGAAAAGAATATTGTGCTTATTTTTTCGTCTCTAAAGATAGCTAAGCAGCTTTTCAGCTTTGGATCTTCTATTAAGACCTACTAGATAACGACACGCAACATTATAAGAAGCTTTAAAAGCACAATTTTGGTCTCGGCCCTTCCAAAACGCCTAAAACACCAAATCGAGAATCGAAAATTGTCGAGCTTCTGCTTCCCAGTCCAGAAAGTGCGACAAATGATGAGGACGGAAAAATATGACACAATTTTTCTAAACACAGCGCGCATGAGAGGGAATACAAGGAGGGAAAAATACTCTTCTCAGCCTCTCACGCTTCTCCTGTTATTAAATTTTCTTAAAGGCAGCGTCCAGGTTAAATCTGATCCCCTACGACTGGAGCCGATCCCGAATGTAGACCCCAAGAGAGGGGCATCTGCGTTGGTCCGGGAATCTAATGTTGCCTCTGAAACGAAAGAATGGTCCTGCAATCCACCTAAAGCTACCAAGCCACGCCTACCCAGAGATTGCTCCCTGACATGACCTGACTCGTTCTGACATGGTAAGCACTGTCAAAACGCACACAAATAACTGATTCCTTGTGACCTGGCGTCTTGCCGTGTCAGGTCGCGTCAAAGAGTAATCTCTGATGGGCGTGGCTTGATAGCTTCCGGTGGACTGTAGGACCATTTTT